CCTCTGAGTTACAGCATCATAGCGATGAAGAGTAGAGCTGGGTCACCTTCATCACCTCTGAGTTACAGCATCGTAGTGATGAAGAGTAGAGCTGCATCACATGCTCTGACTGTCATGAAGACACAACACATGTAGATGGAACGTGTGGAACATGTTGTTCCTGTTGCACAGCAGTGGAACGTTTCACACACACTGAGCACAGATAGTGAAGAGATAGAACTGCTGCTGTGTGAAGAGAACACTGCTGCTAACAACAACCTGATGTGTTTCAAGTGTTTACACACAATGTTATTCACCTTTAGTTCATAGAGCACTATGAAGCATGTAACGTTATGATATTTAATACATAAACTACTTTAATATATACACTAATATTGAACACACACTCACATCGGTGCAGGTGGCTCCACACAGGGAGGAAGGCCATGTAGAGAGAGATGTCTCCCACAGTGGGGTAGGACTTAAAGATGGAGATCACAGCTAACTGCATGAAGATCAGGAACACTGGATGATCCCTGAGACACAGACAGAGACAGAAGGACAGACAGAGAGACAGTGAGGACAGACAGAGAGACACAGAGACACAGAGAGAGACAGACAGACAGACAGACAGACAGACAGACAGACAGACAGACAACCTACTTGAGCTTGATGGACAGAGGGACGGTGTAGAAGAAGACATTGATCTGGAAGACGCAGAGGAAGAAGAGGCGGAAGTGTTCAAACATCTCGGCGAAGAAGTACCAGAAGAGTCCGATGTTGGGGGTCAAGTCTGGTACTGAGAGACTGGGGGGGACATGAATGTGATGACAATAACTCATCGGCGCTCTCTGGTGGACAAACTGTAATGTTTCTACATTCCTTCAACTCATCGGTGACGTCTATACTGTTTACACGTACAGAGAGCACTTGTTTGATCGATTTATTGTTTAGATATGTGAAATAAAATGTTCTTTTACAAATGTTTGTTCACATAACTTTAAGTTCTGCTTAGAGATCTGATACCAGCTCAAGGTACCAGACTCCGCCTGTCTGATGTCTAACATGAAGGAATAAACCAGCAGCTACAGAGACCTGGATCCGTGGTGGTCCAGGATCAAGATGAACCTGACAGGTGGACCCCAGGACAGAGATCAGGACTCCAGTAGACCAGAGGAGGACTCTGTGTTCACATGAGGATGCTTGGTGCTCAAACATATTGAAAGATGATTTTATAATATTAAATATGACGATGTTGGACATTTTATCTGCTCAGATAATTGTTTTTGTTTACCTACTTTATGATGCTAATTCAATATTAATGCTAAACTGTGTTAAATACAAGATATTATGTGTTTCTTTGTCCTCACTGCACGTCTGCGATCTCCAGTTTCCACGATTGGACGATATGAAAATAGGTTTATTATTATATTATTATGATTATAACTTGTTGTGATAACTGCACAAAGACTGGATGTCTCCGTCGTCACTCACATGAAGCCGTAGACAGACGGCAGGTAGTCCCAGGAGCCCAGCAGGAAGAAGGAGAGGCAGACGATGACGAAGAGGCTGCCCAGGTACATGAAGGAGTACTGAGCCACGAACCACCAGAAGCTCCACCGCTGCAGGTTCACGGGGATGTACTGACGCTAAGGGAGGACAGGAAGAGACCATCAGAGAGACGCGAGGAGACAACGAGGACCCTTTAAACTCTACACACCTGCACGAGGTAGACCCTTTAAACTC